TTAATAACAGTTAGGTGCCGATGTACAAGTCTTTAATGCATCCCGAGGAATATCGAAGTTCATTTGATGATCATGTATCACACAAAATCAATATTCACTTTTATTTTACCTTTTTGATTGATTGAAATGATAAAGAGTCAGTATATCGTTGATTTATTGATGTATGGCATTTATATTTCAAGGGTGAAACTTAAATGCCCCGCTCTCTGTTTGGTCGATTTAGTGTGAAAATACAAAGAGTGTTAATTATCTGTCAAAGCAGAAAAATATCAACATTTATTTTCGCTGTAAATCCTTTTATCAATGGTACAAATTAATAAAATGGTATTGACAGCATCTTCACTTCTGAACCACAAAGTACGTATAGTGGGACATTGGCCAGGCTCGCTTGTAGGGACAAATACGATATTTTAAATATTAATTTATTGTCAACTAGAACAAATAATATAAGTGTAAACTTCTGCTTTATCTTGGTCAGACTTATGTATGACGACTCTGAACACATTGCAATGTCAGCTTGACTTGGTCAAATATGTTTTCTGAAAATGGTGCCAAGTTTCACTCTTTTGTAGTATCAAATCTAAGTACATTTTGTCACTTTTCCCCAAAAAAAATGTGTCTCTGAGAACAAAAGTTAGCAAATATTATTCATACCAAACTAATTGGAATCTTATTCCGAATATATATGAAAAGTATGGTTCATCATAGTAAGATATCGGGACTAATGAAAAAAGAAAAGGAAGAGGGAGAAATCCGTTAAATGAGTTACTCCGTCCAGACAAAGAAGAAATCCGTTTACTGAGTTATCCCGTCCAGGCAAAGAAGAAATCCGTTTACTGAGTTACTCCGTCCTGACAAATAAGAAATCTGTTTACTGAGTTACTCAGTCCAGACAAAGAAGAATTCTGTTGACTGAGTTTCCCCGTCCAGAAAAAGAAGAAATCTGTTTACTGAGTTACTCAGTCCAGACATAGAAGAAATCTGTTTACTGAGTTACTCCGTCCAGAAAAAGAAGAAAACCGTTGACTGAGTTACCCCGTCCAGACAAAGAAGAAATCCGTTGACTGAGTTACCCCGTCCAGGAAAAGAAGAAATCCGTTGACTGAGTTACCCCGTCCAGGAAAAGAAGAAATCCGTTGACTGAGTTACCCCGTCCAGGAAAAGAAGAAATCCGTTGACTGAGTTACCCCGTCCAGAAAAAGAAGAAATCTGTTTACTGAGTTACTCAGTCCAGACATAGAAGAAATCTGTTTACTGAGTTACTCCGTCCAGGCAAAGAAGAAATCTGTTTACTGAGTTACTCCGTGCAGACAAAGAAGAAATCTGTTTACTGAGTTACCCCGTCCAGACAAAGAAGAAATCCGTTTACTGAGTTACCCCGTCCAGACAAAGAAGAAATCCGTTGACTGAGTTACCCCGTCCAGGAAAAGAAGAAATCCGTTGACTGAGTTACCCCGTCCAGACAAAGAAGAAATCTGTTTACTGAGTTACCCCGTCCAGACAAAGAAGAAATCCGTTGACTGAGTTACCCCGTCCAGGAAAAGAAGAAATCCGTTGACTGAGTTACCCCGTCCAGACAAAGAAGAAATCTGTTTACTGAGTTACTCCGTCCAGACAAAGAAGAAATCTGTTTACTGAGTTACTCCGTCCAGACAAAGAAGAAATCTGTTTACTGAGTTACTCCGTCCAGACAAAGAAGAAATCTGTTTACTGAGTTACCCCGTCCAGACAAAGAAGAAATCCGTTTACTGAGTTACTCCGTCCAGACAAAGAAAAAATCTGTTTACTGAGTTACCCCGTCCAGACAAAGAAGAAATCTGTTTACTGAGTTACTCTGCCAGACAAAGAATAAATCTGTTTACTGAGTTACTCCGTCCAGACAAAGAAGAAATATGTTTACTGAGTTACTCCGTCCAGACAAAGAAGAAATATGTTTACTGAGTTACTCCGTCCAGAAAAAGAAGAAATCGGTTTACTGAGTATCCCCGTCCAGAAAAAGAAGAAACTCTGTTTACTGAGTTACTCAGTCCAGACAAAGCAGAAATCTGTTGACTGAGTTTCCCCGTCCAGACAAATAAGAAATCTGTTGACTGAGTTTCCCTGTCCATAAAAAGAAGAAATCTGTTTACTGAGTTACTCAGTCCAGACAAAGAAGAAATCTGTTTACTGAGTTACTCCGTCTAGACAAAGAAGAAATCTGTTGACTGAGTTTCCCTGTCCAGAAAAAGAAGAAATCTGTTTACTGAGTTACTCAGTCCAGACAAAGAAGAAATCTGTTGACTGAGTTTCCCCGTCCAGACAAAGAAGAAATCTGTTGACTGAGTT